AAGAACAGTTAGCAAGAAGCCTGCCACGGCCATACAGTTTGTAAGTAATATAAGTCTCTGTGTTTACTTGGTTGGGTCTGAGCAGCTGTGGGACTGGTGGGTGAGAGAGCCAGGCAGGACCAGGAAAACTTCAGCTACAGTTTAGCAATTAGCAGTCTATGGCCTTGGACAAGGTGCCTTAACCTTTGCCCACCCATGCAGCGGGGACGTCAGTACCCGTCTTCCAGTTCTGGGTGCCGTCGGTTACTCTGCATGACCAGCAGTTCCCGCACACCGTGCACACTGTAAGTACTATTATCAGTCAGTGCAATGCTGCCATCTACTATCTGGGACACAGAACATGGCTGTGAACCCCTCTGAAAGCTTTCCAATCAGGTCACTCAGGTGATCAGAACAGACCCAGACCAGCCCAGTATTTGTAACACTGCTGGGCGGCACCTTTCCTTATGCTGGGCTTAGCTGTTAACAGTTTTTAACCTTTATTTTTATTGATGTGCATGAGTGTTTTGCCTGCAGGGCATGTCTGTGCACCATGTATATGCAGTGCCTGTGCAGACCAGAAGGGGGCATCATAGCCCCCGGGGTCAGAGTTGTGGATGGCCGTGAGCTGCCATGCGGATGCTGAGAACGGAAGCCCAGTCCTCTCAGGAGCAGCTGGTGTTCCTAACCACTGAGTCTTTCTGCAGCCCCAGGTTAGTTATTTTTCACTACAATTCTGATAAAGGAAAGTTGTATTTAAAGAGCTTCTTGGAAAGAATTACTTCTGGCTAATTTTGGTGTGTGATTTTTTTTTTTCAAGTTATTTACAAGGTTTTTTTAAACAATAAAGTTTAGGAAATTAGAAAACAAACGCTTCAAATTGTTAATTTGGTTCTTCCCCATAGACATGCTTATTCTGTGAGCTGTATGGATGCTGTGTGGTATACGCACATGGTGAGTAAGGTCACCTACTCTTAAAGTGGTAGCCAAAAAAAAAAAATCCCATAATACTTAGAGGGCACCCTATAGGGGTTACATGGATGAGTATGGAGTAATTTCATAGAAATAGGATTTGACTGTTTTTAGCTGGCACTGGAAGTATACTAATATTTTCATATAATGGTAATAACACACACCAGTTAGGGCATACAGGGTTTGGAAATGACAAGGCAAGTTCTGGTGACTCGGGTCCAATTCGATGAGAGAAATGAGAGAAGCCTGGGTATACAGTTCACCATCAGAACATGTGTTTAGCAGGCACAAAACACCAGGGGAAAGGAAGGAAAATAGTGAATGATACGACCAAAAAGCTAGGCTGGGGGCGTGTGGAGGAAGATACAGTGTGCAGGAATGGAAGAAAACCATTATGAGTGGGATGTTTATAGCAGTTACAGGCGATGGTAGAGTCAGTCATCCAGAGTGCCTTTCTTAAAGTTCATCCACAGTCTTTATTGTATAACTAAAATACATATTTCATTCATAGACAGAATCTTCAATAATAAGACACATGTATAATAAATAAGTCAAATTTGAAAACATACATCAGACAGCTTCATGCTTTTTTTTGAGACAGGGACTCCTGTAGCTCAGACTGGCCTCCAACTCTCTATGTAGTTGAAGATGACTTTTAACATTCAAGCTCCTTCCTCTTCCTCCCAAGTGCTGGAATTGCAGGTGTTCACCACCAGGCCAACTTATAACCCTTCAGCTTTTTCTTCTTTCTTGGAGGTACTGAGGGTTCACCTCAGGCATGTCAGGCAAACGCCCTACCACAGAGCTGTGCCCCCGGCACGGCTTCCTGCCTTGTCAGTGTTGGCCGCCCCCAGCCCGGGGAGGTCTGGAGGTAATCTCAGTAATTCTTCAGCTTCTTCTTGCAAAGCCTCGGCCTTTTCATGTAACAGCATCTGCAGTAAAAATCAGTCATGAGGCCAAATGTACTTGGCTAGAGTTGCCAGCATTTTTATGTCCGCTAAAAACCTGAGTCTGAGATATCAATATCTAACGTTAGTACTAAAATAGTGAGGCTGAAAAACAGCCACTTAAGAACAAGTGATTTCAGTAAATGAAGCTTTTTAGCTGATCACAGTGTTCAGTGTACCAAAAATAAAGGAGCTTTCCCACACTCAAAGATCTGCTTCACAGAAGACTCGGGCACTTAAAACTTAATTTATAATCTATAAAATTTCAGAGAATTTTGCAAAAATTTAATTACCTCTTGAAACTGTTATCCTTTACATATACACTTAATTAGTTCTGGAAACTTATATTTACATAGAATATATATATTTCTCATAATTTAGTGTGTTTTTACAAACCCATCGGGATTGAAGGAAAATCCTTTTTTACTAAAGCTTCTAAAGTAAACACAGTTTAATCACCATCCTTCCCTCAATCCACTCCCACTGCCTGTCATTTCTCCCTCCTGTATTTTGTGTTTTAATTAATTACTTAATTATTTAATGTGTATGGCTATTTTTGTCTGCATGGATGTGCATACACCATGTGTCCCTGGAGGCCAGAAAAGTTGGTTGGAATTCCTGGAACTGCAACTTGACATGGTTGTGGTGGCCACACAGGTGTGGAAATATGAACCCTAGTCCTCTGGAAGAGCAGCCAGTGCTCCTAACCACTGAGCCACCTCTCTGGCCCCCCTTCCTATATTTTCTTGAGACAGGATTACGCTATGCAGTCTAGGCTGGCCTCAAATTTGTGATCTTCCTGCCTCAAGGCCCTGACTGCATGCTGCCATGTATGGAAATATGGTTAGCCTAAAAACAGCGTACAAAGAAGAAAGTATTCCTACTCACAGTGCCTAGTGTGTGTGCTGGTGTGCCTTTAGTTCTCACATACAGGAGGCAGAGGCAGGAGCATCTCTCAGTTCCAAATCCAGCCTAAGTCACTGACTCAAAGAGCAAACCAAAGTAGCATTTAGAGGACTTTTATAAATAATCGATGAACACTGGGCGGTGGTGGTGCACACCTTTAATCCCAGCACTCAGGAGGCAGAGGCAGGTGGATCTCTGTGAGTTCGAGACCAGCCTGGGCTACAGAGTGAGTTCCAAGAAAGGCGCAAAGCTACACAGAGAAACCCTGTTTCGGGGGGAAAAAATTGATGAACAAGACTTTTTTCTATTTTCTAAACATTAGAAGTAAAATGCTGGGATTGGTTGCACATGGGCTTTGTCTAGAGAGCAGAGAAATATTTGTAATACTGTTTATAATTAAAAAGCTCAGCAAAAACTTCGTGAAGGGAAAAACACTATGAAACAAAGTGAAAATGAAAAAGAAAAATGCTCTCTCATTAGATAAAATAAGGATTACACAAGAGAAATTAAAAATATAAGGCAGGCTTTCCAATATCTGAGGTAATGGTAACCATATAAATGTCCCATCATATCTTTTAAAAACTACACAGATCACCGGGCAGTGGTGGCGCACGCCTTTAATCCTAGCACTCAGGAGGCAGAGCCAGGTGGATCTCTGAGAGTTCAGGCCAGTCTGGGCTACAAAGCAAGTCCCAATGAAATGTTTTCCTTTGTAAGAGTTGCCATGGTCATGGTGTCTCAGCAATAGAAATCCTAAGCAAGACAGGGTTTATTCAGCTTACACTTCCACAGCACTGTTCAAGTCAGGACAGGAACTCAAATAGGGCAGGATCCTGAGCCAGAAGCCAGAGTGCGAATTCCTGGCTTGCTTCCCCTGGCTTGCTTCGCCTGGTTTTCTATAGAATGAAGGACCATCAGCCCAGGGATAAGATCACCCACAATGGACTGGGCCCTCCCCGGAAAAATCACTAATTAAGAAAATGTACCTATGAATTCTGAGCTCAGGTTTTTTTATTTAAATTTTGTCGTATGCGTATGGATGTTTCTGGCATGTGTGTCTGTACGCCATGTGTGTGCAGTGCCCTTAGAGATCAGAAGGCATCAGATCCCCTAGAACTAGACTTACAGAGTGTAAGTTACGCTGTGGGCACTGGGAACTGAGCCTGCCATCCTCTGGAAGAGCAGCAAGCGCTCTTAACCATGGAGCCACCTTTCTACCCCCAGCACATGCTTTTGTAACTATAAACTATCATATGATCCCCAGTACTTTGCTCTGATCTCTAAAGCATAAGGACACGATGCTGCGGCATATTTTCAAAGCTTGCTCACCTTTGCTGAGGAAACAATCTGCTTGGCCTGGCGTCTGGACAGATGATCAATCGTCCTCACTAGCACTTCTGGATCGGCATTGGCTAAGTGCATTAAGCTTTTGTATCCTGCACTGTATAACTGTTTTGCTCGACCCTAAGGTATTAAAGAAAAATCAATACTGTGAGTATTTGGGATTATTAAAAAAAATCCTCCAGCCGGGCGGTGGTGGCGCACGCCTTTAATCCCAGCACTCGGGAGGCAGAGCCAGGCGGATCTCTGTGAGTTCGAGGCCAGCCTGGGCTACCAAGTGAGTTCCAGAAAAGGCGCAAAGCTACACAGAGAAACCCTGTCTCGAAAAACCAAAAAAAAAAAAAAAAAAAAACCTCAAGCACCAGACAGGAGTAGATGAAGGTAACAATGAAAACATGCAGAGAGGACCCAGCAGAAGACTGCAGGATTTAAGGGTGTGTTTGGGAGTCGGAGCTGACTCGGGAGTTTTCCCACAGCGGAAGTCAGCGTGTGTGCTAAACCCAGGAACCGGAACCAGTTAGGCACTCCGGAGAGCAGCGCCTCATGTCTTCAAGTTCTAGCCCGGTCCCTTCAAACACAGCCCGGGAGCAGGAAGGTGGCCGTGCAGATGTGCTTCCTAAGCAGGATGAAGAACTGAAGACGGCAGAGGCAGAAGCTGCTGGTGGTAACAGAAGGCTGACAACCGGCCAGGACCCTTTCTCCCGGTCTTAGGGAGCGTGAATGCCTTCCTGACATCCACACACCACTGCGCCGGGTACCAACTGACAGAGGGTAACTCTACTCCGGTGGAGAGGGAGGAGGCGCTGTGGCTAAGAGGCAGGATATACATCCTTAGGGAAGAGCAGAGCCCAGCTTTTTATAACTGAGATCTCTCACTGTATTTGTTTCTCAATTAGCGACGGCTTTCTGGCAGGCCATCGCAGTATTTTATTTAAAAAGAAAAAAAAAGAATTCTGGGTGATCTGGTCTGGGATCAACTGAGTCTTATCTAGGAGGTCTGCAGGGGCGTCCCCCGGAGCAGGCGGCAGCCCAGATAGGAAGGGGTCTGGGGGAGGCAGGGTGCTCTGCCTGCCTTCTTTGCTCTCCACTGCGGGGGCATCTACCCCACTGCCGCCCCCGCCATCCCTCACCGATAAGAAACCCAGCTTCTTCGGCCTTCCACCCGAAGACGGCAGCTCTCCAGGAATCCCAGGCTTTCCAGACTGGGACTGCTGCGCATCAGTCTCCAGTGTGAAGACTTCCACCGGGGGACTACCCAGCAATGTTAGCCGATCCACCATATTGATTCTATCAGTTCTGTTCCTCTACTGAACCCGGAGCAATGAGACTCTTTCTATTACCCATTCTGCAGTAACACTTCAGAAAATGGTAAAAACCTAATTTTCTATTAGCAGAAATAACCTGAGCTGGGGAACCAGGAAAAGGCTGACCTCTAGGACCCCGGTCACTTCCATGAGCGGGATTAGCTCCGCCTTCGCGCAGTACGTCAGTTTCTTGGTAAGTTCTACGAACAGGGCTCTGTAAACCCAAAATTCCTCCAGCTCCTGAGAAAACAAAGATATATCAAATGCTAAGTAAGTTACCTCTAAGTTTTTTCTGAAGTTTGGGTGTAGCGAGGGGTGAGGATGATCCCAAGCACAATTACCATGAGGTAGGCACCTTGGGAGCTTCATGAACTCGTTTTTGGAGGAGGAAAAAGATTGAAAATAAAAAACAAGTTATTTCATATCAAAATTACAGGAAGTGGATGTACAGCTTTGTTTGTGAAGTGACTACAGTTTTTATGTCTGGGAATTATCCCAGAGACAAAGTATTAAATAAGGAAAGATCCAAATGCAATGTAATATTCAATGGAACATTTTCTAAGTTAATAAAAACAGGAAACATGAATCAAGAGCATTCAACATGGCGTGGAGGCTATCATATCACCTTATCTTTTAAAGATATATTCTTCAGGACTGGGGAGCTGGCTCTGAGTGAGAGACCCTCTCTCAAAACAACATGGAGAAACAACTGAGGAAGATACCTCTGATGTTGACCTCTGACCTCCACATGCAATTGTGGAAAGTGCACACACATGCACCCACACACGCGTACATGCCCATGCACGCACACACAGTGTGTACCCACACCACCCCCGACTCCCGCGGTTGAGGTTGAGATGTTCAGTTTAATATACACTGCAAACACATACACTAAACATGTGTGAAATGTTCATTTGTGAAGGTCCCTTTCTAGGCTTTGGGTATCACCATAAGAACAGGTAATGTCACCCTGCCGTCACCGAGAAAGCAACCGCTGCACTAACAGAGCTGAGTGAAAGATGCTGTAGACCAACCAGACAGCCAGTGCTGAGCTGCCCTGGTGTGGGCCTTCCTGCTACACGGGAGAAACTGCACAAGTTTTCACTATTAGTTCACAGTAGTTAAAAACCATCTTCACTCATACAGCCGCCATACTATGTTACACCGTTTACACAGAGCTAGAGATTCTAAAACATACACTAACCATCCTTCATTAGCACATATGGTACAATTAATTATACACATGCATGGACTACAGAGCTTTAAGATAGGAAAGAGAGGGGGGCTGGAGAAATGGCTTAGAGGTTAAAAGCACCGACTGCTCTTCCAGAGGTCCTGAGTTCAATTCCCAGCAACCACATGGTGGCTCACAACCATCTGTAATAATAAGGTCTGGTGCCCTCTTCTGGTCATACATGCTGTATACACAATAAATAAGTAAAATAAATTAAAAAAAAAAAGATAGGAAAGAGAGAAAACAAATTAAAACCTGGCAAAAACAGCTTGTATGATATGTCAATTAAAAATTATTTAGGTAGCTAAGTCTGGTAAGATTTGCTGTGCTATTTAAGGAAATTCTACAGTTTTCTAGTTTTAGGCTAATCTACTTCAAATGCATATATAAATAAAGTTCACACACACACACACACACACACACACACACACACACACACACACACACATAAAACCCCTGTATTTGATGTAGACCCCTAGCCTGCCTGCCAGACACTAGAAGCAAATGTGCACATCACTGTGGCTGTCCAGAAAACATGGTACAGGGTAATCACACAGCAGCCGATGGACTCGGGGAACTTACCAAACCGCCCATCACTCATGAGTCACACACAGAAGCCACAGGTTCTAACGGACAGCCTGGCACTAGCGGTGGTCCTGGGACCAGGCTAACTCTGCACCTTCCACTGACTTAAGCATTTTAGTTGATCCAGTAATGTCTGCGTCATTTCCAGAAGCTCACACACAGTAATCTCGTAACCAGGCAGAAACAAAGAAACGCTTGAGATAAATCCGCACGCTTTGAACTAACACAGTAACTCAGCAGAGAGGAAAGCCTGACAACAGTTTTACGATTTTAATAACAGCTCAAATGAGAGAGCAGCAGTACACATCGCACACTTAACTGAATTACCTCACAGAAATGTAACACACAGGATGAGAACGAGGCAGCCCCCGTGAGCAGATTTTGTATGTATCCTCGGGGCATATTAAATTTCTCAGACACGCTCCAAACGTTGGTCTCTTTCAGCAGGGAATAAAGGACAAAAGACAGATAGAGCCTGTTGACAATGTTCTTGTCCACCTTCTGGAAAGACACAATCAAATAAACTTAGTTGGGAATGGGCAAAAGGTCAAGTGAATGAGACTATCCTGCAGGTCAGCAAGGAAGGAATGACTTCACAAAAGCAGCGTGCACTTCACATCAGCTCTCCCGTTTTTCTAGTCATAAGGAGATGGGGTAAAGTGGTTTCCGGTGTAAACTACACTCCCTTCTGCAGGGGGGCATGGACTGAAATGCTCAAGTTCTGGCACCTGCAACTGCCGAGCTGGGAAGAGGACCTTTGCAGATACGTTAGTTCAGGACTTGTAAATGACGCCATCCAGGACTCACCATGGGCCCTGAACTCGCTGACTGGAACCCGCATAAATGAGGAGAGGACAAGGAGACACAGAAGTCCATGAAAACAAGGCTCAGGTCAGAGATGTGCCTGTGAGCCAAGAAGCCAAGGAGCTGCCTCGCCAAGCCACACGAGAGCATGAGAACTCTTGCAGCGTACCCAGGAAGCCAGTGTTGCCCTGACCTCAGATCCAGCCTCCTGAGCTCGAGCAACCGAGCCAGGGCCTCACGTATCCAAGGGAGTGCTCTGTCACTGAGCTGAAGCCCCGGCTGGTTTCTGTTGTTCACGTCACCGTTGGCAGTGGTTGTTTACAGTGCCACTAGAAAATGGACATGGGAGGGAAGCAGGCGTGTGGGAGGCACGGAGGTCCCCGTGCTCACAGAGAGGCACCAGGGAACCAGGAATGTTACACACACAGGGCTGTCTCGTCAAGGACAGACAACCTGTTCTGTGTGTATAACGTGTTTCACTCACAGAAGGCTGGGGGCAGATGTGCTTGGCAGCCTGGTGACTTTGTGCTTATGGCGAGCTTTTTTCTCAATCTATAGGACCCATCTTTATGGAAGATGTCACATGTACATCTTTGTACATGGAGAGCTTTGATGTAGCCATGTTGTGCACACAGGATTGAGTTGTCACTAGGAACATTTTCACCACATTGTGATGTACTTCATTAAATATGTCTAAAATAAACCACTCGGGGCCAGACTCTCAAAGTTTGAACCAACACTGACTATGGAGTCACGAACTAGCTTCTTGCCTCCTGGGGATCAGTACTCTGCTGGAAGGCAGAAAGACCACCACATTGACTGTGCCCTTTGTAAACTGCATTTGCGTGTGAATGGAAGCTGGACAAGCACATGTAGCTGAGTAGTAAACTCGTCTGTACTATAAACTGCAAGGAAATATGCTATGGCTCAGTGTCCCAACACAGAAACAGAGAGACCAGAAAAGGCTTCCTGGGGCTGCAAGTTTCTCTTCTGTGATTCTGCTTTTACCAGTGGCGTCCAGGATCTTGTTTTCTGTGCAGAGACTCTCATCACTAGTATCAAGTTAAACAATTTCGTAGATGGACTTGAAAGAGAAAGAGTAGTTATAAACTACAACATTAGCTGGGCATGATAGTGTACCTACAATCCCAGCACCTGGAGCCTTGGTAGGCAGGTCAAGACCTGAGTTACATAGCAAGTCCCTGTCTGAAAAGAAAAACAGAAATAGGATACAGAAAAGAATCTTGAGATAAATGCTAGGTATCAGTGGATTTGAGTTACAGATTCAGCGTGCATATAATGGACCATCCTTTAAAAACCATTAAGCTGAAAAAGTATATTGAATACTGGGTAGGCAAAAAGAGCTTTTTAATTTGCCATTTTTAATGTGCTTTTACCATTAACTATAAATTGAGTTAATGGAGTTTTTGCTTGGAATGTAATTCCAGAGCCAGGAAAAATGACAGAATTATTAAATGGCCGGATGGATGCTCTAATGATAATTTCAAGCGGTTGCAAGAAATGTCAATAACAAGGGGCGGGGCCGTGAGACGGCTCAGTGGGCGGGGCGGTGAGAGGGCTCAGTGGGCGGGGCCGTGAGACGGCCCAGTGGGCGGGGGCTGGTGAAGTACTGGCTGTGCACCTGAGCTTGGTTGCTGGGACCCACATAAAAGAGAGAGAGGAACCACACCACGGAGTTGTTCCCAGACGGCCACATGAGTGCTGTGGCATGAATGCACACGCACACGCACACGCACACCCTCACACGTTAAGAGAGAACAAAGTTTTAAAGGAGTAGGTGTGGGGTGGAGTTTTTCTTTTCTCAAATGGTATTTATTTGTGTGTGTGACTATGAGTGTGTGTACATGTGTGCATGTGTGCCAGGGGGCCCACGAGGAAGTCGGGTCAACTTTTGGAAGTGGTTCTCTCTCCCACTTGTGGAGGCTCCGAGGCTCTTGTCTCTGGCACGCTGTGTGGTCTAGGCTAACTCAGGCTTTCAGGGACCCTGAGGATCAGACTCAGGCTGCGAGGCCTGTGCGGCAAGCGCATTTTCCATTTCCACTGGGCTGTTTGCCTACCTCACTTTTTCTTTTTTAATGTGAAAAAATAAATTACGTTTTAAGTAAATACTACTTTTTGTTTGTTTTGTTTTTGAGACACGGTTTTTCTGTAGCCTTTGGCTGTCCTGGAACTCGATCTGTAGACCTGGCTGGCTTCGAACTCACAGAGATCTACCTGCCTGTGCTTCTCGAGTGTTGAGATTAAAGGCGTGCGCCACTCCTCCCCGATTAATACCATTATTTTTTAGAATCTGAAATAGTTGTATGTTTAAACTATTAAGCTAGTAAGTATTTAATTATCACAAAACAAACATTGACTATATTATATTAAAATGTACCACAGTTAAATTCTAGATGCAAATTTTAAAAGATGCCTTATTCTAAGGAGATTTTGTATGTAGTATTATTTAGTAATTAGCCCCAATTTTTTAGTATGATTTTGATTTTACTTTACATTGTAGAGGTTAATATAAAAGTTTAAGAAATATTTGTATTCAACATTTTGAAAATCTACGCATAGTGTCAATTCTAAAGTAAAAGACCATATCTGAACATTGTAAAGTCTTTTTTTTTTTTCTGTTTGTTTTTTTAAGACACAGTTTCTTTGTGTAACAGCCCTGGCTGTCCTCAAACTCACTCTGTAGACCAGGCTGGCTTCGAACTCACAGAGATCTGAAGATCTCACATTCACACTCGTCTGCCTCCAGGGTGCTGGGTTAAAGGCGTGCACCACCACCGCCTGGCTTGTGAAGCCTTCATTTCAGGCTACTGAACTGCATGGGACAGCTGCAGCATTCGGTACAGATCAGAGGAAAAGCCATCGTCAATATTTACACTAAAATTAGAGCTGTTTACAGAGACTTAAATATATGTAGGAAATGGTAGGGAAGACAACTAAGTTTGAGGAGAAATTGGAATAACAATGAAAATTGTAAAAGCACACAGTGTGCTGAGTGGAAAATGATACTGGCCTAAGGGAACTGATGATTACCAAAGAGTTACTTGGTAGACATTAGCCTGAGCTTTATTTTGTCCCAAGACTTGAGGATTATACTATCTGCTTTATAATTAACATATGCTTAATTACATCAAACTATCAGCATCTACTGGTATGGTCTACATTTGTTTTCTTTTTTACTAGAGTACATTTGTTATACGAAATCCCATTATGACATGTTCATATGGATATCAAGAACCATGATCATAACTCCACTTTGTTATACGAAATCCCATCATGACATGTTCATATGGATATCAAGAACCATGATCATAACTCCACTCCTTTCTCTTGTCACGTTAACTGAACCTTAAAACAGTAAAACGTAAGATACAGCACAAAAGAATCTTAGATTATCCACTTCAATCTTCCAAAATGCTTTATATACTGCAAGGATTAAGTTGGGATCTTTTAGGGTTTTTTTTTTTTTTTTTTTTTTTTGGAGACAAGGTCTCACTATGTAGACCAGGTTGGCCTTGAACTCACAGAAATCTGCCTGTCTTGAGAGAGTATTTTGAGCTTTTTGAGACCAATAAACACCACCACCACCACCACCATCCAGATCCTCCTGTGCAGAATTTGTAAAATCAAGTAGGATAGTGCATATAAAGCTTCTGGAAAACAACTTTATATTGGTTTCTTTAGGGGCTGGAAGCTGAGTGGCAGAATACTCACCTAGTCCACACAAGTATCTGGGTTTCATCAGCACTACACACACACACACACACACACACACACACACACGCATGTGTGTGCGCTACTTATATACACCTATATGCATAATATATATTATAAAACATTCATTTCAAATTGAACTTACATACACAGTTATATGATATTGTGCAAATATTTTATAATATAAGCCTAACAGATTAATAACTTTTTTTTAAAGACAAGGTCTAACTGTGTAGCTCTGGCTAGCCTGGACTACATTCTGTAGACCAGACTGGCTTTGAATTCAGAGATCTGCCTGCCTCAGCCTCCCAAGTGCTGAGGAACAAAAAGATCAGGCCAGTAAAGGAGATGATGACATACTAATTCTGTTGGGTGGATGCAGTTCATTATTTAGAAGACAGCGACACTCACCTTCCTGATGGCCTGCCCCGATGCCTTCTTCCCAATGAAGCTTTCAGAGACTCCAAGAAGAGCAGCCACATTTTGCTCTGCTGGACTGAGCTGACTGAACTACATGGAAAAGGAATAAACACATGGAAAAATAAAACCGTAGCTCTAAGTCTGTCATTTGAGCCAAATCCAGTATTAATTCTGAAGTCACATTTTCATAATTGTAATGGACAAGAAAAAAATCCATGACATTTATTTACAAATATTACAGGTTTTAAAAATATAGGATCAGAAGGTAACATACTTTATAGAATTATCAACATAGGCAAAATACTATTTCATCAACACCAGACTGTGCATATGATGATGGTCCCATAAAATTACATGGCCTAGAGATGTCCCAGCTGTCTTGGTGTGTAAGCACACTTGGTCTTACTGCATTCCTCAGACCACACCCATCACAGATGACTGTGCATGAAGACATGGTCACATTTATGGACTGTGATTATGTTTAATATTAGCGTGAGCTCCAAGAGGAAGGAGACAAGAAGGAAGGGTTTGAAAGTAGCTGCGCCATACAGCACCACTTCAAAAACTTACGTGATGACTAAAAATGATACTTAAAGCTGTAGACGGGGGTTGGCAGGGTGAGTTGGGGGTGCAGTTCCAAGGTAGAATACACACTTACATACAGGCTTTGGGTTCAGTCTTTAAAACCATGGGGGTTGGGAGGGAGGCAGCCACCATTTTTGCCTGCTGTAATCCTGTGTGTTCATTCAGCCAGCCTGTTCCCAGAAAAAAATCCTAGTACCTTACTTTACCAACTGGTTTTCTTACACACAGGGCCAGCTCTCCAGTGTCACTGGCTAGAAAATAAATACTCTTTGTGAGGCTGGGAGACACGTTAGTAAGTTCCTGCTGCACAAGCTGCAGGACCTGAGCTCAACCCCCAGACCCCAGATAAGAAGCCAGCGTGGTGGCCCTTGGAGCTCATTTGCCAGTCAGCCTGGACTAAGTGGTGAGCTCCAGGTCCCGGTGGGAGATCCTGTCTCAAAACAAAACAAACAAGGTGGATGGCTCCTGAAGATGACACCTGAGGTTGACCTCTGACTCTACACGAATGCACAAACATGCACACCTCCTGAACACACACATACACACCAATACATATTTAAATGAACCTGAAAGGCATATATATGTGTGTGTGCACGAATGACATAATAAGACCCATAGTGTTGTGCAATTAATATACAGTAGTCTAAATGGAGAAGAGAGAGAAGCTCTGAGAGATGAAAGGCCCAGTTCCAAACGCTTCACCAGAGAAGAGGCGGCAGCTAATCACGGACAAAAGTCCAAGGCAGTCAGAGCCGAGAAGCCCTTTCTCACCTGCCTGAAGTACACCATCCAGTCAGGCTCGGTCTGGGCAACGAGGTCGTAGGGGGTTGTTAGGTAGACCAGATGGAGAAGGCTTTCCAGTACAAGTCCTTCAAGCCCTTTCTTCAAGTCTCTATACAGAGTGTCACAATAGGCCAGATCAATGGCCCCTAAAGAAACACAAACACAAACTCAGGAGGTGACTGGACCTGCTCTCAGCCAGGGCTGTTGTGTCTGCTTGTCCAGCACTCAGACGGCAGACTCGGACAGACAGTGGGGCTGGGGGAAGATCAACCACATCTACCCAGCAGGCTGAGGCCAGACTGCCTCGCGTGAGGCCCAGCACCAAAAGCCAGTTTAATTAGTGTGAATTTGAACAAATATTTTCAACCTCTCAGAGTTTCAGCTTCCTCAATTTTAGAGACAATAAAGCATAACTGAATCATAAGTGAGAAAACTACATTGAAGGTTCGGAGTAATTTCTACATAAATAACATGGATGTACATGGAATATACAAAGTCATCTACGATATTAGTCTGGTTGTGCTGTGTATTATAATGAAATAAAAACGAATACTTCGAGAGATTGAAAATAAACAAATACAAAGTCTTGTTATTCTTGTTTGCTGAGGGCCTCAGCTAGGGTCTCTTGTTCGAGAGTTCAGGTCCTAAACTAAATCTGTGTATTAGTTAACTAACTTTACCAGAAACTTCAAATTCTCTTTTTTATAATGGGTTCAAAGGTTATTTTAATAGTATGTATCAATTTTTAGACAGTTCTGATATTACTACTACTCTATTTTTGGTAATCTTGCAAAAAAATTTCAATGTGTATTCAAACTAAATTGAGATACCCACTTTATAAGCCATGTGGCTGTTTATAATTAGGAAAATCATACATAATGCAAGTGTTTATAAATAAAAGATGATTAAACAATTTATGTTACAGCCCTATTATGGATACTACAGTATAAAAGGAAAGTGGGCCTGGGCTTAGCACAGGCCCAATATAATCTCAGCTACTTGGAGGCTGAGGCAGGAGGATAACAAGTTCAAGGGCTACCTGGGCTACAGTTGACCAGCTAGCCTGGACTACATTTGACCAGCTAGCCTGGTCAACTTAGTGAAACCCAGTTTCAGAATTAAAAGAGCAAGCTGGGAATGTAGCTCAGTGGCTGCAGTGTGCCTGCCTGACGTGTGTGATGCAGCCTCGGGTTCACTGTGCTTTACACACACAGTTCCATTCATAGGTGAACAAGGTACATATAGACACATATGTATCTATGTTGAAAAACAGTCAGGTGCCACCTGCCAGGGACACACTGCCCCTGTGTAAACACGGAAGAGATGGCTAACACCACCCCTAAGTGACAGGATCCTTTTGGACCACTGTGGTGAGTGCGGCCAGTGTTGCCTGACATGTGATGTGGTGGGTGAATGTGTTCGGAAGGGTCCACACTGAACTGGGAGCAGAGGGAATTCCTGACGAGTGGGAATGGGACAGGAGTGTGGGACTTCTGAGATAGTTTTCCTTTGTGTGTGTACATGTGTGCCAGAGGATGGAGGCCAGAGGATGGAGTACGGTTCTTCAGTCATGCTCCACCTTACTTTAAGACAGACTCTCTCACTGAGCCAAGAGCTCACTGACTTGGCTGGGCCAGTTTGCCAGGAAGCTCCAAGGACCCGCCTGCCTCCGCCTCCCTTCTGCTGTGGCTGCAGACCCACCCTGCCACGCCTGGCTGCTGATGTGGGTGCTGGGATCTGAACCATCTCCCTAACCCCAGATCTTTTTTTTTTTTTTTTGGTTTTTTGAGACAGGGTTTCTCTGTGTAGCTTTGCACCTTTCCTGGATCTCTCTCTGTAGACCAGGCTGGCCTCAAACTCACAGAGATCCGCCTGGCTCTGCCTCCCGAGTGCTGGGATTAAAGTGGCGCACGCCTTTAATCCCAGATCTTTATGTTTTAATGAGCAGACATGGATTATTTTTCAGTAAGTAAATTACAATATACTCATTAAGAAATAAATTCTTTGTTTAGATGTAATCTATATATTATGCACAAAGAAAGTTCCAGAACAATAGAAATAGAAATTACTTATTAAAAACTTGTTTTTAAGTAATTATTTAAAAACAAAAACAAACAAACAAAGAAGAGTGGTGGTGGTGGTGGCACACCTTTAATCCCAGGCAGGTGGATCTGTGAGTTCGAGGCCAGCCTGGTCTACAGAGTGAGTTCCAGCACAGCCAGGACTACACAGAAAAACCCTGTCTCAAAAAAACAACAACCACCACAAACAAAACCTTAAAGCTGTTTATAGCATGTTCTGAGAATTGAAGAAAAACACCCAGAAAGGTGCTATTCCTGGCAGGACTTAAGCTGTGTGTTGCTGAGGGAGGGAGTGGGAGGGAGGCATGGCCATCTCCCTCTCCATACGCTTGTGCAATTACTTACAATTCAAACTATTTTTCCAACTTCTGAAAGCTGAAGTAGCTTGTGAGATTAATACTTCTAATATGAAATCACAAATACAATTTAAAGAAAGAAAATCACTATTTCTATTGTTTCCAATGTATTTCCTTAGAAAATACTGAGATTTAGCTAAACTTACCCTTCAAAGCAGCTTGGCCCAGCCTTGTAATACGAAAAGGACACTGGAACTCCTCAGAGGCACCGCGGCTGTCTCTGTGTAGAAGACCTTTCTCCGTCAGGCAGCCGAGTGACTCGACAGTTATTTCCCAGAGGCTTTTCTCTTTCAATAAAATCTTCTGCTGAACACCGAAAAATGTACCATTCATAAACTGATATATGTCACCAAGACTTGTTGCGATCTGAAAGAATTCAGGACATAACTGGAAAATTTTCCTTAGTTCAAGAACGAGATTACTCACTTTCATATCTTAAAGCTATGTGAAGAAAATATCAGCACAAAATCTACACAATTAAAAATTAACAAGAAAAACAACTGAAGGGAAAAGACATCATCATGTTGGTACTTTTTATGCACATTTTCATTAAAATGCTTTAAAAAGATTATTATTATTATTATTATTATTATTATTATTATTATTATTATTATATGTTTTGCTTTGTTTTGAGACAGGGTTTCTCTGCATATACCCCTGGCTATCCTGGATCTCACTCTGTAGACCAGGCTGGCCTCGAACTCACCGAGATCCACCTGCTTCTGCTTCCCAAGAGCTGGGATTAAAGGTGTGCGCCACCACACCTGGCTCCTATTATTTTTAGTTGGCTGTCTGTGTGTGTGGTGAGGTGTGTGCACATCAGTGCAGGTGCCTGTGTGTGTGTGGTAAGGTGTGTGCACATCAGTGCAGGTGCCTGTGTGTGTGATGAGGTGTGTGCACATCAGTGCAGGTGCCTGTGTGTGTGGTAAGGTGTGTGCACATCAGTGCAGGTGCCTGTGTGTGTGATGAGGTGTGTGCACATCAGTGCAGGTGCAGAGGCGTTGGATCCCTGGAGCTGGAGTTACAGGTGCCTATCAATCACCCGATGTGGGTGCTGGGAACTGAACTTGCGTCCTCTGCAACAACAGTACTGGTCTTAACGTCTGAGCCCCCCCAGCCCCCAAGTGCTGTTCAGTTTTTATACTACCCCCAAAGCTGTGCTGTTTGGCCTCCCCAGCCAGTCCCCCCAGTTCCACGCAGACTCCTTTGGAATCCTCTCTCCATCCACTTCTAGCTCCCATGGAAGCATCCTTTAGGTCTAAGAACTGCATTAAAAAGGAAACATGGAAACACAGCTAAAAGAATCCCCATGACAGCGTCAGGCAGCCTTTGCCCAAGGGGTCACCGTCCTCCTTCCGCCTTTCTCTCCCCTGGGTTCCATTCCTTTCCCCTCCTCCCCCGTGGTCCTTTACAACTTACAACAGCGATCCTAACATCCTGCACTTGCTATTCAGATGTAAAACTCACTCTGAATTAGAATCCACTTTTATTAGCCAATTTCACCAAAATCAGCATATTAAAATATGATCGATCAATAGTACACTCTTACAATTCTGATGATACTTCAATGGGGATATTTAAATAATCATTTTATATTAAACCAATATAAGGGATAATAAAAATCTTATGGGGCATTCATTTTTCGATTGCTCCTCTCTTTCCTCTTATTAACAATCATTTGTAATATTCAATCAAGCTCAAATGCACTTAAAAGATATTCTAGAACTGATACTCAGTTTGTGGATCACTAATGTACTTAAGCTTCTGTGGTGGTTAAGATGCTCCTCATGGTCTCAGGAGTTTGAATGCTTGGTCTTCAGTTGCTGCTTGGGCGGGACCTTGCTGGAGGAGTATACCACCAGGGGTGGGCTTCGATGGTTTAATATGCCACACTCCATTCCCATTCAGAGCCCTGTTTTCTGCTTGTAGTTTGAGATGTGAGCTTGCAGCTTCCAGCTGGACGACAGGTCTGCCACCTGCTGGATCCTATTCCCACCATTATGGACCCTAACCCTCTGGAACCATAAGCCCAAATGAACTCTTTCTTCGACAAGTTGTCTTGGTCGTGGTTTTTATCTCAGTAATAGAAATAACTAAGTTCCCATGCTGCTTCTCTCCTGACCATCACAGTTGATGCGGTAGAAGGCTGGGTAGAGCAGGTGCAAGGGGAGTCTCTGCCTGACTCACCTACCTGTCTTCACGTCATCTTCCCACTCCTCTCTGGGAAGCCTGGCCACGATTTCAACCTGGGCCAGCCTCTGTCTACCTTTGGACTACTCCAAAGTTAAGTCCGTTAAAGCATTTATTGAGTGCTAACCACATACCAAGTTGGTGTAAGGCACTGGAACGCAACGGTCGCAAATAGAAACGTGAGCCCCGCCTTTTCAGGGCTTTAGAGCAGGGGGATGTTATTAGTCAAAAAAAAACAGTAACAAAACACGACCTCAAACTGAAACATGACCTCAAACTGATCCGTGCTGTTAAAGGATCAGAATGCAGTTCTGCAAAGGAAATAACAGACTGACTGAGAGGTGTAGGGAGGCATCCCCAAGGAAGATGGGCAAGCAGCACATTCAGGGAGCATTAAGGTCTTAGTGCACCTTACCTTAGAGAAGTGTAAACAAAAGCCAGGGTTTCTAGAATGGAGAGCAAAAACCATGCAAGAGACCACACTGGAGAGACAAGCTGAGGCCACATTAGCCAGGCACCAGGAGGAGAAATCTTGGTTAATATTCTTTTCCTTTGGGTTTCTGTTTTATTTTTAAGACAGGGTCTCATGTAGCCCAGCTGGTCTTCAACTCCTGATTTGTCTGCCTCCACTTCCTAGGGGCTGGGACTACAGGTATATGACCACTATCCCAGGTTTTGGGTTAATTTTTTGTTTTTTAAAGACTGAGTTCTACTGTGTAGACTTAGCTGGCCGGGAACTCACAAAGGTCTTCTTACCTCCGTCTCCCAAGTGCTGGGATTAGAGATGTCGTGGAACATGCCTGGGTTCAATTTTTAGAGCAACAGGAAACTACTAACAAAGTGGAAGTGGAAAGAGAGACATATGCACTTCTATTTTGTAACTACTCCATGTGAAGCATCACTTGCAGGGGATGTGGCAGGCCAGGCAGTGCATGCAGGGAGCCGTCAGAAGACAGGAAAGCGAGGATTCAGCAAGGGACCCAGGCATGCAGTGCAGGTCTACACTTGAGAGCAGCCTATTGCTCTTTGCTTCCAATTCAATGTTTGTAAAATAGAAATTATACTTAGCTCGAGGATTTGAGTCTTTAAGGTGTTTATCAGGGTATCTGAAACACGGCTGTGATAGATAGCCGGGCTCACTGAATCTCACGATGCAACTGTTCTGTTCCCTTCCTGGAGTTTCCTGCCCTTCCCGTCATCTGTGTCTCTTGGGATGCCCACTTCCATCCTCTGAGCCTTTGACCTCGGGCTGTACAAGTCACAAGTCTTGGCCGGTATCAGAGCCCTTGTTCTTACCAAGTCTCTATAACAACTGTTATGTACCTGATGGCATGCTCCTCTGCTACCCCGGTCAACACCAAAGGTTTGGGGCAACTTTTGCCTCTCAACAATCCACTCCAGTATCTTCAGCTTTCTGGAGATTTACAGCATCCAGCCTATTACCCACATCTCAGCCCTTCTCCAGTTACAGCATCCGGCCTATTACCCAGGTCACAGCCCTTCTCCAGAGTTACAGCATCCGGCCTATTACCCACATCACAGCCCTTCTCCACAGTTACAGCATCCGGCCTATTACCCACGTCACAGCCCTTCTCCAGAGTTACAGCATCCGGCCTATTACCCACATCACAGCCCTTCTCCACAGTTACAGCATCCGGCCTATTACCCACATCACAGGTCTTCTCCAGAGTTACAGCATCCGGCCTATTACCCACATCACAAGTCTTCTCCAGAGTTACAGCATCCGGCCTGCTAACTATTACCCAGGTCACAGCCCTTCTCCGGAGTCACGGCATCCGGCCTGCTGACTACTACCCATGTCACATTAAGCTTTCTTTTCTTGCCTTCTACTCTACCTAGGATGACTTATTGCCTCCTTCTATATCTAGTCAGGGTTTCTCTTTCAACCCCGATTGATGCTAATTCTCCTTCTTCCTTTAGACTTTCATGATGCTAAGTGGCCAGGTGACACTGTAATGACATTCATCTGCAAGGTACCAAACTTGTGGTATCTCTCTCAGTTATGCCTCACGCTTTTACTTCCATGTTCATAGTAATGAGGACAGGCTACATGACAAGCTAAGAACAGTGATTCTGCAGTAAGAAAACACGAATTCAAACTCTGGCTTTTACTACTTTGTGGCTAAATATACTTGGGCACAAGGGCTAAGTTTAGTTAATTCAAGAATAAATCTAAAAGAATAACCCTAAAAAATCTAATTCCTAATCTCATTATTTTTCATACTTGATAAAGACTGTACAAATCTCTAAGATGCTGTTTACACGTTAGTAAACCCATAACGTGAAAATGCACCTACTACACCTAGTCTACAGAGCCTCATAACTTGGTAACATTCTGCTCTGTAGAGCATCAGCTGCTGCCCTACATGTCTGCAGAGCTGGGGCTTGTAAAGCCGTCCAGCACGAGGTGACGGTATTGTACCACAGGGTGACAGGCACACTTCTGTCTTAGTGTGAGCAGAGGTGATGGGTTGTCATAGATGACCCACTGTTTCACAGCTTCCACAATACTGTCTCCTAGAAAATAACTTTTGGGAGGTATCAATTATTATCTGATTTCCTATATTTCCTCTAACTGAAGAACTAAAAAGACTCAAATTTAGATTATTTTTGAAAAACAATTCATTTATTTTTATTTTAAGTGCATTGGTGTTTGCCTGCATATATTTCTATGTGAGGGTGTTGGATCTCCTGGAAATGGAGTTACTGACAGTTGTGAGCTGTAATGTGGGTGGTGGGAACTGAATCCAGGTCCTCTGGAAGAGCAGCCAATGCTCTGAATTCACTGAGCCATCTCTCCAGTCCTCGATTTAGATTTTTTATGTCATAGATTGTTCTTTTTCACATTATATTAGAAGTTAATATTTTTTTATATTTTATAATTTGCCTGAATTTTTAAAACTCTCTGTCATCTCAGGTAATAGTTGTCATATTTAAGAAGACCTTTAAAAATACCTTCAAACCAATTAAAGACAGAAACAAACTCTGGATTCCCTTGGTGAATTCCTCAACAAGATGGCTGTAGCAGTTTTCCAGGGGTCCGTTTATCAGTTCCAGGACCTATAAAATAAAAGTTAAAGCAGTATTATGTTTTGTGTTGTTACTAATGCTCAACAATGTTCCACATAAAGGCCTTATACTTTGTACAGATCCTGGGAAGCCCCAGACTCCTCCAAAGTCAAAACAAAATCATATCACAAAAACTGAAAGAGCAAGAATTAACAGGTGTTCTATAAAATAAGAACAGAAAAATAGTTTTCATTGTCTGAAATCTATAAAAATATTTGAACCACTCTTTCCAAGTCTTAATCATACAGGAGGATATATCATTTAAGAAACAGTGGTAATTAGATTTTAAGAGATGATTTCATGTAAGGGGTAGGCCAATGACCAAGAAAGACAGACAGACAGACAGGGCAGTACAGAAGTCTGGGCAGATGGAGCACTACCTGTTGCTTGTCTTTTTCTTGCAGTAGAAGAATACTCTCGCCAACGGTGTCAATCCCAGCCCGGCCAGCCCTGCCAATCATCTGCTTATACTGATTCCTCTTCAAGAACTCTCGAGCCACATAGGGGGCTCTTAAGATGACTCTATGGACGGTATAAAATTAAAAATGATCCTCTATGTCAATAACACTACTTTTTAAACACAATTCCATTTTATCTACCTGTTATTAATGTAATAACATGTTAGCTTTAAATAAAACTCCATTTACAGCCGGGCGGTGGTGGCGCACGCCTTTAATCCCAGCACTCGGGAGGCAGAGCCAGGCGGATCTCTGTGAGTTCGAGGCCAGCCTGGGCTACCAAGTGAGCTCCAGGAAAGGCGCAAAGCTACACAGAGAAACCCCTCTAAAAAAAAAAAAAAAAAAAAAAAAAAAAAAACTCCATTTACAGTACATCTTTGATGTCCTAGATTCTTGAGTCTATCTTCTGTAATTCTTACAAAATAGTTAACAATACCCTCCTTTTCTTTTCTTATGAGGGAATTAGCTGAAGTCCAGGAAGTGGCTTATCTTGAGCCACGAGGTGAGTAACGGCCACACCATCACTTGCACTCCAGCCTGGTAGTGGAGAGGCCGCTGAGCAGCCGACAGCAATGCTCTAAAGCGCTGACCGTTCACCTGGAACTGAAAGATCCAGCATGGACCACCACTGATGCTTCCAGTTTACGAACTGATGCTGTCTTTAACCCTAAGGCACTGCAGACTTCAACTGGGCTGAGTCTACGAAAACAGCAATTTCAGTCCTGCTCGGGTATAAACTAGTCTGCAGTCAGACTCTTCAAAGGGAACAGAAGAGTCTATCACTGCCTACAGATTACCACCTTCTGCATTTATAGATCTCAACACACTGTTTAATGCTTGAAGAAAACAAACAGAAAAGACGAAACGAGAACACACACAATAAACGACTAAATACAATAAATAAAAATAGGGAACAGTAAAGACTTTTGAAAAATTGTAAATAGTGTCCACAGAAAATCCCAGGGGGAATCACAGCCACAGACTGCTACAAGAAGTATAATACAAGAGAATTCTTGGAAATTTAAAATTCATTTAAATCTAAAGAAATAATGAATGAATATAACTAATAGAATAGTAAAAAACTAACTTTTTATATTCTGATAATTCCATACATGTATAAAACATATTGCTATTGTATCCATCCATTTCCACACCCTCTGATCCAATATAACTGGGGCTAACCTACTACTGCTGTGTCTTAAAAATATAGATTTGGGGGTGGTGGTACTGGGGTGATTTTGGGGTGGTAGTACTGGGGTGATCTGGGGTATAGTACTGGGGTGATTTTGCAGGGGTGGTACTGGGGTGATTTGGGGATGGTGGTACTGGAGTGATTGGGGGATGGTACTGGGGTGAATTGGGGGGGTGGTACTGGGGTGATTTGGGGGTGATGGTACTGGGGTGATTTGGGGGTGGTGACACTGGGGTGATTTGGGGAGGTGGTCCTAGGGTTTGAACATAGAGCTCTCTTGGTATTAGGCAGCACTCTGCTTCCCAGCCCACTAAGACACCTGGATTTTATAGGGAAGGTAAAACTGGAGAAGTATGCAAAGGAGAGCCGACAGCTCAAACCACACATCTTTGCCCCACTCAAGCCAAAGTCACGAGAGAAGACCATAGAGATGACGGAGGATGAAACGTCTACCAACAGTCCTACAACGAAGAAAACCATGGCGCTCACGAGGCAGCCCTCGTCAAGCCCTAACTGAAGACAGTAAGCTGGACTGTTGGGAATCACCATCAGGCTGCTTGGGTTCCAATCTTGGCTTTGAAACTCATTTACCTGATGGGACATTCACCTAGTTAATGACTTACTAGATTTTAATTCTATAAAATGTCGGTCATAAATTGTGAGGGTTGATACATAAATGCATGTTTAGCAGTTAGGTGCTGGGTGGGAGATGGCGATGTGGGAACAGGAGGGAATAACACACGACTATAATTAGTGTAATTAGACACCACGGGGAAAACTCAAGGGAAAGTCTAAATGCTGTTGGAGGGACAGCTCCATGGACAAAGGCACTTGCCTCCAAGGCTGACGACCTGAGCTCTATCCCCAGGACCCACACAGCGGAGGGAGAAGACAACCAGCTGCCTCCTGACTGGAGAAAGCTGCCCTCCAACCTCCACAGTCACACTGGGACACGCATGCTCTACGCCACAATATAAATAAATAAAATGAAGAAAGAAAAAACGCGTTGTTGAGGAGAAACCACAAACCACAGGGAAACCAGAAGCTGGCTCCACACTGAGCATGGCGCTGCTGCAGGCTTTAATCCCTGCACTTGGAGGCAGGGGCAGGGGGATTTCTGTGTGTTCAATGACAGATTTCCATAGCAAGTTACAGACCAGCCAGAGCTACACAGTGTGACCTGTGTCTAAACAGATAAGTTGATAAATATGAACACAGGGGTGACAGCACAATTAATGACTATGACACTGAGACTGTCCTACGTATGCCCAGCAGGAAAGCATGCTTTTGACATCCACAAAAATTTTGTGAAAATAAATTATTTGCTAGAAAAACCTATAGTCATGAATTATAAAGAGAAGTCAGTTATACAGTTTTATAAGTTTGGTAGTATGTGAAAAGGAAACTGAGGATCTGATTTTAAGAAGCTATTGAATTCAGGCTGGGCAGTGGTGGCAGAACTCAGAACTCAGGAGGCAGAGGCAGGAGCATCTCTGAGTTCCAGGCCAGCCTACTCTACAGAACGAGTTCCGGGACAGCCAGGGCTACACAGAGAAAGCCTGTCTCAAACAACAACAGAAGCTACTGCGTTCAGAGGCCTTTACTCAGCCCCTCCCCTGTGGATTGAACACCAGGCCTCATATATGTCAGGCAAGGCTCTAACCACTGCACTCCACCCCCAGACTGGCCTTCCAGATCAAGTCATGCCTCTCATCCCAGCACGAGGAAGGAGGCTGAGGCAGAAGGATTCTCTCCAGTTGGAGGCCTGGGCTACAGAGACCCTGCCTCACAAGATCAAAACAGAAACAGACAAACACATGAAAGGGAGGGGCACAAAAGGGAGGAGTCTGATATCAGGAAATCTACTTTGTCATTAAGATGTTAAAGGAAACAAACCAATCAACTCACTCGGCAGAGGAAAGCGGTTGATGAAGCTCACCTGCGTGCTGGGAGATTGACCCCAGCTGCCAGGGTGGATGTGCAGGTGAAAAGGCAGAGCACGCCCGTGGAGTAGGCCTCTTCCAGAAGCTTCCGTTCATCACTAGTTAGACCGCTGTGGTGATAGGCAACTCCGAAGGGGATGGTGCGCTTCAAGACAGGGCACACTTTACCACCGCCCACGTTCCTCAAGTTTTTAATCACTTCACATTTTTCCTTCTCTCTGTGGTTTAGATAATCCCTAGAAAAACAATCCATTAGATGTAAGAGCCTGGCACCAGAGAGATGGTTCAGCAGTTAAGGACACTGACTGTTCTTCCAGAGGACCCGGGTTCAGTTCCCAGCTCACAACCACTTGTAGCTCCAGTTCCAGGGGAGCCAGCACCTTTTTGTGACCTCTGAAGACATCAGGCGCACCCACAGTGTGTGCACGTGTGTGTGTGTGTGTGTGTGTGTGTGTGTGACCCATCCTCATAAAATAAATAAATCTTTAAAAGGAAGAAATGCGAGCCCCTGAATTACAGTTAGAAAGTGCTCACCATTTTTCTTTCACTACATCATGTTAACATCCCTTTTAGTTACGTATTGTTTTTATCAGTATAAGTACACAAAATGTTCTTTGTGTGTATTTTGTATGCATGTGCCTGTGTTCCTATTTGTGCACAGGGGTGTAGTGCTCCAGGGAGCCTCCTGTGTCTCCCCAGTATTGGATTACGGTGTGTGCCACCATGCCTGGCTGTCACAGGGATGCCAGGAATCCAAACTTGGGTTCTCTGACTGAGCCATCTCCCCAGCCCCATAAGAGGTTCTTTTAATTTTAATTCTTACTCCATTAACTATTAGAAACACTCTCCAAGTCTTTTTTCAGATCACAGAACCCTATGGAAACTTGATTAAAACTAAGGGAAAGTCAACTACTTATATAAACACATCACTTTAGATACAAATTCAGAAGCTTCATGGGCTTCCTGAATTTTTGTTCCTATACCTCCTATGAATCCATGGAATAGAGGCCAGGTTTAGACCCCTGCTCTGGATACTATGATTATTTCCTCTACAATATATGTCTTTATGGGAGATGGTTTGTCTTATTTTAAGGCAGAAATGTTCTGCTCTGAAAATGGAAACATACCGTACGGCAAAACAATGTCTGAACGATAACACTGTAGAAACCTCAATAATATCTTAAATTATTTTAAAAAATTGAGTGATTTTGTAAGAAAAATGATTAATTTCCTTACTTTTCTTAGTTTAAAAAAATTTAGTGTGTGTGTGTGTGTAAGAGAGAGAGAGAGAGAGAGAGAGAGAGAGAGAGAGAGAGAGAGAGAGAGAGAGAGAGAGAGAGAAAGAGAGAGAGAGAGAGAGAAAGAGAGAAACAGGTGTCTACAGATGCTGAATCCTCTTGGAGCTAGAATTACAGGCAGCTGTGAGTCTCCTGAAATGGGTGTTGGAAACAAAACTTGGGTCAGGTCCTCTGGGAGAACAGGAAGTGCTCTTAACCCCTGAGCCATCGTCTCTCCAGCCCAATGCACTGAGCTTTTTGTTTGTTTCTAGGTCATTATGTAGCCTGGCTGTCCTGGAACTCACTATGTAGACTAAGATGGACTCCAGCCCACAGAGGTCCCCTTGCCTCTGCCTTCTGAGTGCTGGGATTAAAGGCATGAGCTATCAAGCCTGGCTTTTTTTCCCCCTTAAATAATCAACACCATCACTGTAAAGGCAGACTGTCAATTACTGAAATTCAACTTCTTCACTGTACCCTAAATATTTTTATCACTGTACTATCCAGTAAATTTAATTCTAATTTAGACAGTTCATGCCAGTAGGGCTGAGAGGGAAGGTAGAGAATGGCAGATTAAAATCAGGTCAACAGTCTATGACTACCGAAATAGCCTCGGGTAAGACAAACGGGGTGTAAGAATTACAAAACCACACACAACAAGCAGGTGCGGGAAACACAGAACTATCAGCACTTACAGCTGCCTTACACTGTCTCTGGGGACACAGCAGAGCTTACATTAAAACAACTCAAACCCCAAACTAATACGTTTCCAGAATTCATAGGAAAGTGTATCTAGTGCCCACACAAGTTAAGAAAACAAAGACAGTGCTTATCAAAGAGAAAGTTCAGCTGCAGACGTGACCTGGCCTTGGAGAGATGACAGTGGTTACCCCAACCTCCATGTAGGAAAGCCCCCCTCCTGTGTGCAGCCCCCCTCGCAGCGTGCAGCACCCCCTCCTGTGTGCAGCCCTCCCTCGCTGTGTGCAGCCCTCCCTCGCTACACGCAGCCC